GGCATGGTGTTTCCAAATTTCAGTAAGGCAGAAGGGTTTCCATGTCGTGGTGGGAGAGGCGCTCCTGGCTCTCCTCTTGGAGAGCTTCCTTCCCTCCCTTGCTGGGTTAATCCGTCAAAGGGCCCTGTCTCTTTTAAAGGTTGTTAGTAAGCTTAAGAATACACTCCATTATAGAGTATCCTGTAAAAATTAGTTAAGTATCAGCTGGCTTAAGGGGTTACAGTTCACAGTAGTCAGTCATTCTGTTTATATTGAATCACAGTTCACTGCTATTCAGTCATTCTTCAAATATTTATTGAGTACTACCATGTGCCAAACATTGCTTTAAAGGTTGGGATACTATACCTAAAAAGACAAATTTTTGCACTTATAGGGCTTAGGTCTATAAGGAAAATGAGACAAACAAAAATGGAATATATAGTATCAGGTAGTAAAAAGTGCTGTAAAAAAAGTAAAACAGTAAGGGAAAGGAGAGAGATTGGGGGATACTAGGAAAGTGCTACACTTGGTAAGGGAAGGGCCTTGGTAAAATGTCATCAGAGAGGGACATGAACAGAATGGAGGAGAAAACCCTACAGATATGGGGGAGCGGTGTGTTTGCATAGAATAGTATCCTGCTGTGCTTTATTCCATTTCAGTTTTCTTTACAATGACTTGTCACCACGAGACATCGGTCATTTATATATGCATGTATAAATGGATTGCACACAGTCTTCGCTGGCTCTCTTCCTTCTGTAGAACTGCTTGCTCTGCTCAGCATTTTCAAGCAGTGAGCGAATAATACATGCAAGAGCCCTGAGGTTGAGGCTTTTGCTGTGCCCAAGGAATTGCCGCTCTGTGCAGAAAGGATGAGGAAAAGCAGGAGGGAGCAAGTTGGGGCTGGGGTTCAACCAGGAAAGTCCTTGTAAACCTTAGAAATTACGGTTTTAGATTTTGTCCTAAATCTGACTGGAAACACTGTAGGCTTTTTGAAGAGGAGAGGAACAGGGCCAGACAGATTTTAAAGGGAACATAATGATTATTAATCCTATAAAATATCACATGACAGGATCAACAAAGGACTGCTGAAAAGCTTATGTATTTTATTTATAAGAGGATAGTTGGTTCATTTGGTGATTAGTTTATGCCAAGAAATAATACTACTTTTTTGTCAGTTACACCAATTTTAAGTATACAATTTGATGAATTTTGACAGATGAATACAATTATGTAATAACTAGTCATGATATTTAACATTTCTATCACCCAGAGATTTTCTCATACTTATCTACATTGAATCCTCTTCCCTCAGTGGCCCTTGACAACTACTATGTGCCTTGTCTCCACACTAGAACAAGGGATTGAGCCCAGGGCCTTGCACATACTTGACTAATGCTCTACCACTGGTCTCCATCCTCAGCCCTTTTTATTTTGAGAGAATCACAGTGTTGCGCAGGCTGGCCTGCTGCTCATGATCATCCTGCCTCCTGTGTACTGGCACCATGATCTGCTTTTTCTAGATTTGTAGTTCTGCTTTTTCAAGATTTTTCTGTGAACAGAATCATATAATTTGTGGTCTTCTTGCAATTGACTTTCATTTAGAACACTGCTTTTGAGATTTACCTATATTGTTGGGTATATTAGGAGTTTGTTCAATTTATTGCTGTTTTCTATTATATGAATAGGTCATAATTTGGGTTTTTTTTTTTTTTTTTTTTGCCTTTTTGAGACAGAGTCTCGCTATGCAGTTCAGGCAGGACTTCAGCTCACTTTGTAGCACAGACTGGTCTCGAACTTGCAGTGATCCTCCTGCCTCAGCCTCCCCTGAGTACTGGGATTACAGGCGTGCACCACCATGCCCAGCTATCATAATTTATTTTATCATTTAACTAATTTACAGGCATTTGGATAGTTTTCAGCTTTTGGCTGTTGTGAACAAAGCTGGTAAGAACTTTTAAATACACAGTAAATCATTTTTTAAAAATGGTACTGGGGCTTGAACCCAGGGGCACTTTGTCACTGAGCTACAACCCCAGCCCTTTTTATTTTTTTGATACAGGGTTTTGTTAAATTGTGGGGGTGGGGCTAGATTTTGTGCTCCTCTTGCCTCAGTTTCTTTCATGCTGGGATTACAAGTGTGTGCCACCACACCGGCATTGAATGTAAGTCTTTATGTAGACCTATGCTTTAATTTCTCTTGGGTGACTACTTAGGAGTAGAATTGCTGGGTGTGTGGTAAGCGCATGCTTAACTTTAACAAAAACTGCCTTTGCATTCTCACCAGTGTATGGGAGTTGAAGTTGCTCCATGCTTGCCAGTGGTCAGAATAGTCATTCTCTTTAATTTTAGCCATTTTAGTAGTTACACAGCATTATCTGGTGATTTCAATTTTCATTTCCCTAATGATTGCTAATGATACTGGAGAAAGATGATAAACAGAATTTATTTAAGGAGACGCTGTTGTAATAGGTATAGAGACTATTGCTGTATTTTGTAGGGAGGGATGGAGACTGGCCTCAGCTTTGAATACAGTGTGGGCAAGTGGGAATTTATAGCCAAGAATCAGGGTGGGGTCAGTGGATGGAAAGTTAGGAAGGGAAAACACGGGGGAAGGGGAGATTCTGGCTGAGCCAGTCTTAACTGGAGTCTTCATGGAGCTTTTGTTTTACATCTCCCATGAAGCCTGTGGTTCACTTCTGCATTTCACATTAAGCTCTTTCCTTTTGAATGCTCATAGTATTTATTTTCTGTATCGTTCACTTTCTATTTAATTATACATTGTTTTTGTTATTTTCTACTCTGTGGTTTTATTTTTAATTCTGATCTCAAATCTGATCCCTTTGCTCATTTTAGTTACATGGTTAGAAATGGCCTAAATGTTATGGCTAGTTTTTCTGGGGTCTGGCAGAAATCGAGAAAACTGGGAAAGTTTGTAGATGGTTCTGAGTATTTGGCAATCTTTAAAGTGATAGAGTTTTGCTGATTTCCTCGGTAATACTGGTTTACCTTAGAATGGCTCCAAATTTCAGGATTGGCTCAGATTTTTGGAATGTGGAATAGAACTATTAATATTAAACGTATTGCTTGTTTTATATATATATATATATATATATATATATATATATATATATATGTTTTTTGAGACAGAGTCTCTTTTTTTTCTTCTTTTTGAGACAGGGTCTTGCTATGCAGTTCAGACTGGCCTTGAGCTCACTTTGTAGCCCAGGCTGGTCTCCAACTCACAACAATCCTCCTGCATCAGCCTCCCGAGTGCTGGGATTACAGGTGTGTGCCACCATGCCCAGCTGAGACAGAGTCTCATTATGTAGTTCAGGTCCACTATGAAATCATTATGTAGCCCAGGCTGGCCTCAAAATTATGGCAGTCTTTCTGCTTAAAGTGTTGAGACAATAAATGTGTAGCACCACACCCACCTATTACTTGTTATTTTGGAGTGGGCTTTACAGCAACACAGTTGCCCTAGGGAGGCGTTCAATCTAAACTAACTCCCTATTTGTTTGTTTGTTTTTTGAGACAAGGTCTCACTTTGTAGTTCAGGCTGACTTTAAACTAACTGTATAGCCCAGGGTGGCATTGAACCTATGCAACCCTCCTGCCTCAGCCTCCTGAGCCCTGGAATTATGGTCATGTGACACCATGCCTGGTTGTCTTGTTTTTTAAAGTCCAGTCTTGGGATTGTGTCTCCATGGTAGTTATTTTTATTGTAAGACTTTTTATATTATTAGCTTTTGCCTATATTCTCTGGCTGGAGATCAAGTATAATATAATTGCGAGTAGCAAGACTTGGTATACATGTAATTACAGATGGAATTGCTGGGTCAAATAGTAACTCTATGTTTAACTTTTTGAGGATCTACCAGATGTTTTCCAAGCTAGCTGCATCAGTTTACATTCCCTTTGCAGTGTATGAGGGTTCTAATTTCCCCATATCCTTGCCAACATATGTTGTTATCTAATTATAGCCATTCTTGTGGGTGTGAAGTAGTATTTCATTGTGGTTTTGATTTGCCTTTTCCTGATGACAAATGACAATGAGCATCTTTTCATGTGCTTATTGGCTATTTATGTATCTTATTTGGAGAAATCTTAATTTATATCCTTTGCCCACTTTCAAATTGTCTTTACTTTAGAGTAGAACTTTTTAAATATACTTTGAAAAAAGTTGCTTTACATATGTTTTGCAAAAAGTTTTTCTCATTCTTTTTTTTTTTTTTTCTATTTTTTAATGCTGTGCTTTGAAACACAAAATTATTTAATTTGTTGTTTTGAAACACTGGCTCACTCTGTAGTCCAGGCTGGCCTTGGACTCATGGTGATCCTTCAGACTCAGTCTCCCAAGTTCTGGGGTTACAACCTGCACCACTGCAGCTGGCAACAAGGTTGTAATTTTGATGAAGTCTCGTCTCCTCTCATCTTCTCCTCTTATTCCTCCCCCATCCTTTCTTTTTGACTTGGAGGTCTTACTGTGTTTGCTGTGTTGTCCATACTGACCTTAGACTGGTGATCCTCCTGCCTCAACCTCCTAAGTCTCTAGGGTCACAGATGTGCGTCACTGCCTGCCTAACGAAGCTACTTTCTATTTCTAGATTAGGAAATGTTTTTCCGTAAATGGTGTTGAGTATTGTTAAATGTTTCCATTCTGTCCAAAGACATCATTATGCATTTTTCCTTTATTAACGTGGGTGCTACATTGATTTTCAGATACTAAACCAACCCTGCTTTTCTTAGAACCCTCTTGTTCTTGACTTAGAACCCATTTCATATTGTGATGGCTTCAGTGTGTGGTTTTTCTGTGATGAGTTTGTCTTAATATTTGCAAGGTATATTGAGCTGTGGTTTTTGTTTTTTTTCTAATATGCTTGTTTTAGTGTCAGTGTAGTACTGGTATTGTACAACACATTTAGAAGTGTTCTCTCACCTAGCTTTTGGAATTTATAAAGAATGGACATTAATTTTTCAAAAAAGCTAATGGTACTTCAATTTTCATTTTTATCTTTTAGGATTCTCCTTTTACAAATGCAGGAATGGGATCTAATCTAAACCTCCTTGGGGAAATTGAGTGCGATGCCAGCATAATGGATGGGAAATCCTTAAATTTTGGAGCAGTTGGTGCACTTAGTGGTATGTAAGCATTATGACGTCCTATTGCTAGTCTTTGAAAAACTATGTGTATTACCATTTAATACTTCTAAGGACAGTCTTGCTTGAAATAGTGTTGAAAACAAGCAATTTTGTTTCCCTTTTTTGGGTATTGGGAGTTGAACCCAGGGCCTTCATACTGAGCTATGTTCCCAGCATATCCCTGTCACTTGTGGAATTTTTCATGTTGAGTCACGGTCTCGGAAAGTTGGTAACTTGCCCATGCTGGTCTTAAACTTGTGCTCCTTCTGCTTCAGTCTCTCAGAGTGCTGGGAGTACAGATGTATTCCACTAAATCCAGCAGTTTTCATTTCTTCTAAAATTTTAGCTATAAACAATTAAAAATCTGGCAAAACACTTTGTCCAAGTTTTTGATTAAAATTAGATCATTTTGTGAAATATACAAATGTTTTTATCGTGAAAAATTTCAGATGGTATAAAAATATTTATCTTTGATCTTCTAAGTCTTTCCTTTTCATCTCTTTCTCCCAGTGATGTTTAACCAGTAAAAGTCCAATTCCTTTATTTATATATTTAGGTAGTATATTGCAATACAGTTTTATTTTGTGAAGGTGGTTTTTAAAAAAATAACTGTATATGTTAGTTTGAAACTTTTTTCTTTTGAATAGGATATCTTCAAGATTTTTGTCCTCCCTAAAAAAAGATTGTTGTTCCCACATCAGTATATAAAAGACATATCTAATGTTTTATATTTATATATGAATAACACAGATTTTATGTGTTCAGATTCATGAATTTTTAAATGTATATAGCCATATATAACCATATAAATGTGTTCACCTAGATCAAGACATTAATTATTTTCATGTTAAGATGTAAAACTTGTCCATACTTCCAGCATGGTTCTTTCCTCTCAGAATTGTATAACTAATCAGGTTACTGTATATGAAGTGATTTATTTTTGTGCCCTGTTAGGACTGGCCTCATAAAATGAGTGGGGCATTTCTATATTTTTAGAAATGGATTGTATGTGATTAGAATGATTTCTTTATAACTGTTTGGAAGAATTTTTTATTCTGAATTAGTGGGCTTTTCACTATGTGAAGTTTTAAAATATGGTATTCAACATCTTTGGCATTTATAAGATTATGTGTATTTTTTTTTCTCATAAATACTTTTTAGGGAATGTGGCTATTTCTTATGGTTATCACTTTTATTTGGCCAAAGACCTTTTAGTCAGCTCTCTTTATTGAATTTGGTTTAATTCTACTGTGTTCAGAGAGGTGTTGATTCAAATTCCTTGAATCTTTTGAGTCTTACTTTATGTCCTAGCTTATGGTATGTTGTGATACATATTCCATATGAACTTCAAAAGAATGTATATTCTGCAGGTTTTGAATGTAGTGCACTGTGTCTGTCAGGTCAGTTTTTTGTCCTGATCTTTTATATAATTTCTGATGTTTATGATATATAAAAATTATATTTCAGTTAGTTTTGATTTCCCTCTTTCATTATGAAATTTTACTGATATTTAGTACAATTTAATGTGTTTAAAGGCCATTAGCAGTTTTGTTTGTAAACTGTTCATACCTCTTGTATGACTTGTCTTTTGCCTCTGTTTGTAATAGTCCTTGTCATACTGACTTTCAAAATTTTTTATTTGTCACGCATTACTTTCTGTTTTGTGACTTTTGTATTCTCCGTTTCTAGTTTCTTTTATAATTTATAAGTACAGTCAGCTATATTTTGTTCTAATGTATATAACTTATTTTTCATTTACCAGTTTAATACATTGTTTTTTTCTTGTAATGTCTAAAAATTATGTGTGCGTAGCTTATTGACTAACAATAATAATAGTAACTAGCATTTATATAACTAACATGCTAGGCGATATTTTCAGTGCTTTACATATATTAAGTCACTTAATTCTCACAATAACTTTATGAAATCAATACTTTTATCCTCATTTGACAGATAAAGAAACTGAGACACATGAGAGATTTAGTGATTTTTTTGCAGCTTGTATCTGCCTGAGTCAAACTGAGAGACAGAAACCATATAGTAGTTCAAGCAGAAGTTTAACATAAAGATTTATTAAGCTGAGATAGACTAATGACAGATAGATGGAAGTGTATCCTAGAGCAGATGGCAGTATCCAAGGAAGGGTAAAGTTGGAAATTCTAGAAATACTTTCAGGCTTTGCTGAAAAAGGTGTAGCTGTAGCCCCGTGTGTGGCAGAAGAGTTGCTGGAGTCCCTGGGCTGGAGCTGGTGCATAGTCCTTGTGGCGCGACTAATCCTGTGAGGTACAGGTGAGCCCTGGCTGGTACATGAGGTCAGGAGGTTTGGAAATTAAACATGCTGTGCATAGGTTGAAGAGTGGATTTTGGCTCAGTAGACAGCTGTCTCCGTGGAACACTTGCTGTGTGTGCCTGTGGGGCTGAGGATAGGGCGTGGGGATGCAGCTTGGGATCAGGAACAAGGTGTGGGGAGAAGTCTTGTTCTTTCTAGGGCTCTCAACCTTGCTGCTGTGGCCTGAATCAGAAGCTGGTCCAAACATATAGTGAGTGACCCTGTAGGCACTTAGGCCTGGAGCATACCTCGTGGGCCACACAATGCAGACACTCTCCAGGTGCCTGGCCAGCGGGGCACCCTTTTCTACTGTAGTGTGTCTCCGGTGCCCTCTACTGACAAAGCTTACCATGTGCCAGCTGGCAGGAGAATGTAAATGTAAATGGCCCATATCCATTTCCAGAGATTAGGCAACAAAGTGTAAATTCGTATTTGAGAAGGAATAATCTGAGCTGTTAGAGTTACAAAGGAGCCTGATTCTATGTTCCTCATTGTGTTCTTTCTACCTCTCCTGTATGATCTGTTCTGTTCCCACTTACTTGAAATGCCAGTATTGTATATTAAAAATCCAATATAATAACCATTGTTAATTTCCTATCATCTTGTTTTGAAATTATATATTGTTTCTGTTGTTTTTTATTACTGTCTTTAAAATAAAAGGAAACTAAAGAAAAGAATATAAGGTTTCAGAAAAACATTCATGACTAGATATATATTGCCAAATTAAAATTATAATACTAAATTCCAAAGTTGGTAAATACTAAACAGAATATAAATTTTATCAATAAAAAACCCAACTAACATTCTGGCTTTATTATATTCCATTGATGTATTTATCTACCTTGTACCCAAACCATACTGTCTTATTTTGAGTAGCTTTGAATAAAGAATGATATCTTTTCTACTATTTCTTTTGTTTTTTTTGGTACAGAGACTCAAACTTGTGACCTCGCACTTGCCAGGCAGGCACCTTGCCGCAGAGCTACATCCCCAGCCCTATGTCTTTCTATTTTATTTTATTTTATTTTGTGGTACTGGGGCTTGAACCCAAGGCCTTCACACTGAGCTGTGTTCCCAGTCATCTCCACATTCCCTTTTGATTTTATTGTTATTTTGAAACAGAGTCTTGCTAAGTAATGGCATAGTTTTAGGCCTTAGCTACTTGTGTTAAAATTTCAGCTCTGTGACTTTGGACAGGCAGTTTAACCCTCTATGCAAATGTTTTCTTGTTAATGATACAGGCTTTCTAACCATAGCTACCTGATAGAAATGTATCACTTGATACATTGAAAACTTAGGCACTGGACCTGGCACATACTAGGTACTGGGTTACTTTTGCCTTGTATCATCTTCATCATCATCTTGTTTGTCATTGTCATTGTCATCCTGTTTATTATTATTATCCTGACTGTGTTTGCCACACAAATGCCCTCCTAGGAGTTAGTATTTCTCCAAGATGAGCACTGCCATCTCACTTGTACGTAGTATTTTGCCCTTTGGAAATGGTGCAGACCAAATTTTGGGTTGCAGGCTTGTACATGCTTGACCTCTTTTCCCAACTTTACTCTTGTAAGTGAGATTTTAAGGTTTTGGCTTACTTTTCCCCACTAATTTTTCTCCTTACGATAAAATGGGAGCTATTTATAATTATGTTTATTCTTTAATGATTATATTGTCAATAAATGCCTGGAACATTGTTAGATTTGATAGTAGGAGAGTGACACATTTTCAAGTCATTTTTTCTTCTCTATTGTGAAATCTATTAAAAGGAAACCAAATTGAAATGTGTAATTTTTCAAGTTCAGTCTTTGCTGCTGTAACACATTATCAAATGTGGGAATATGTTTTATTTTTGTCTTTTCTTGCATCCGAAATGTACTCATATATTTTTAAATTTGGCTAATTATTCATGATAATTGTTTTTATTGTATATTTGATATCTTGAAAGAGAAGAATTTCTAATATATTTAAATTTATTTTATTATAACAACTATAACAGTTGAATGGGAAGCATAATGACATTCTTTTTCTGCCAATTTTATTTTATAGGAATCAAGAACCCAGTCTCAGTTGCAAACAGACTCCTGTGTGAAGGACAGAAGGGCAAACTCTCAGCTGGCAGAATTCCTCCCTGGTAACTACTTTGTTCTCCCTAACTTTCCCTGTGTCTTTGGTCTTTGGTGCATGCAGTGTTTGAAGACTGTTTTTATCTTTGGAAGGCTGATGCTGTTGGTTACACACCAGCAAAGCATGCCTTTGAGAGTAAGATACACTTCGTTCTGTGATCTTGGAATATTTTGTACACTTAATAAAGCTCCAGATGGAATAGAACATGATAGATCAGAGGAGATCAGAATTAATATTTGCTTTTGCAGTTGGTTATTGAGAGGTTTTTCCTCTTAGTAAGTGCTCAGTTGGGGTTACTGTATCACAAAACTTTGAAAGTATCCTACACATTGTAGAATAATCTAAAGTAGTTTCTGAAAGTTCTTAGAATAAAGGTACATTGAATATTCTAAAAAGCCCGGATTAACCTGTTATCTGGAACTAGTGATCAACAATATTTTGTTTGTCTCACCTAAAAGGGATTTAAAGATCAGTATGAGAGAATTGCAAGTACAGAAACACTCAGTGTATAAAGGATTTTGTTTTTGATCATGGTGTCATCTTAAATAATTGTAGGAAAGAAAGATGGTTGATTAAGGAAATTACGTTGGGGCAATCCTACTTTGTGGAAAAACATTAAGTTAAATTCCTGTTTTATATCACTTTAAAAAATGTAGCCCAAACCTAAAAGCAAAAATATGTAGTATAAAATGTTGCTTGTGAAATAGAACTAAACAACCTAAATGCCCATTAAGGGCAAAACAAATTGCTTTCTATTCATGTTATTAGGTATCTGGTGGTATTAAACAAAAAGGGAGAGAATTATTGTAGTAATAGCATGGATTACTATTAATTTTCTTGGTCTATCATAACAAAATACCATAGATTTGGTTACTTAAGTAGCAGAAATTTGTTTCTCAGAGATCTAGAGGTTGGGGGAGCTGGGGATTTAGCTCAGCGGCACAGCACCTGCCTGGCAAATGCGAGGTTGTGAGTTTGATTCCCGGTACTGGAGAAAAACCAGGAAAAAAAAAAAGAAAAGATCTAGAGGTTGGGACATCCCGTATCAAGTTTTCACCCTGTTCATTTTCTGGTGAGGACTTTCTTCTTCTTCTTCTTCTTCTTTTTTTTTTTTTGTCTTTCTGAGACAAGGTCTCACTATGCAGGTCAGGCTAGCCTTGAGCTCACTTTGTAGACCAGGCTGATCTCGAACTTGGAACTATCCTCCTGCCTCTGCCTCCCAAGTGCTAGGATTACAGGCATGTGCCACCACACCCCACTTGAGGGCTTTCTTCTTGAGGTGTAAGTGGGTGCTTTCTCATTGTGTCTCACATTGGATATATGGTGGGAGAGGGATTGAGAGAGAGAGACAGAGCTTGAGGGGGGTCCCTCTTTTAATTAGCTCCATAATCTCATTGTGAGGGCTTGTTTTAATCACTGTCTTAGCAGTGGGACAAAATACCCGACACCCACCGTTCAGAATAGGAGAGATTTATTTGGGCTGATGCTTTTTAGAGGTTTCAGTTTATAGTCTGCTGGCTCCAGGGCAGCAATGTATGGTGGAATGGTCTGGCAGAGGAAAGCTGCTGGTCTCATGGTGGCCAGGAAGCAGAGAGAGAAGGGAGGAGGCGGGCAGGGAATATATCCTTCCAGGTCGTGTCTCCAGTGACCTATGTCTTGTGACCAGGCCAACCTCCTAACAGCATCATCTATAGCACCCTATGATCCTGCTTCTGAATGCATGGGAGTTTAGGGGTTATTCTTCATTGTAAATCATAAGTGGACCCTACCCTCATGATACCATCTATCTTCAGTTATCTCCCAAAGGCCCTATCTACAAATATCACATTGAGGACTAGGGCTTCAAGATAAAAATTACTGAGTGTATATAATTCAGTTTATAGCAATAGATCTCTACATTGTACTGTGAAAAATTGAAATTGCTGATATAGTCAGTTTATGTTTTCTTCAAAAATTACAAAATAGTATGATGGAGACCAGTCTCCTACTGCATAGGTTAGGAAATAAAACTTCACCAGGGATTAAAGCTGCCTAAACTGAACCCTTTCCAGTGGAATCCTCGACTTTCTCACTGTCTCACATTTTTATCCTGACCCTGTCTGCCCTACTCCTTGTAACGATGGTACTGGATTTAAGCTTTTCTCATTCTCTTACATTCATTCATACTGTTATACTTTAATGTATACGATACTTTAATTTTCTAAAACTAGGTAAATATGTACATAGTTGCACAAAGAGGGTTTAGAAAGGTTACCAAACTTACTGTGAGGCTGAGGCAAGAGTGTAGCCACGGGTTTGACAAGGAGAATATATATGGGAAAAGATGATGACCCTGTCTTCATTAAAATAGAGTAATACTACACCTATCTGGAGCAAGCTAGCTGATATTTTTCACATGCATAATTTTTCAGCTTTATTCTTGTTTTCAAAATTGTTTGATATTGTAGGTATTTTATATTTATGTAGAAATTTAAAATTAGTTTGTTCATTTCTATAGGTAGCTTGCTAGAATTTTGTTAGGATTTCAGTAAGCCCATTTTTTAAGGGCTTTTTTTAAACCTCTCTAAACAGGGTTTTGTAGTTTTCCTTATTCTGGTCTTCCATGTATTTTGTCATGTTTATAGCTAGGTATTTCATTTTTTAGATGCTATGTTAAATAATGTATTTTAAAAATGTTAATTCAAATATTTAGTGTCAGTATATAGAACTATATGTAAATATGATTAGTTTTATCATTGATATTCTATCCTGAGAATTTGCTGAAATCATTTGTTGTAGTATTTTTTTTTTTTTTTGGTATCAGGAATCGAACTTAAGACCTTGTGCTTGTTATGCAGGCACTTACGCTGCTGAGCTATATCCCTGGCTATAGTAGCATTTTTATAGATTCTATAAGATTTTCCACATAGATATTGTATCTTCTGGAAATGTAGTTTTACTTCTTTCTAATATGGATTTCTTTAATTTCTTTTTCTTCCTTAATTGCACTGGTTAGAACCTCTAGAGCAGTGTAGAATATAAGTGTGGAGGTGATATCCCTGTCTGATTCGTTATAGAAAAGAAACATTTGGTCTTTCACCATTAGGTATGATGGCTACTGTAGGTCTATCTCATATCTTCATCATGTTGTGTAAGTTTCCGTCTTTTCCTCATGTTCATGTGGAGAATGTTTCCTTCTTTTCCTCATGTTCTGAGAGGTTTTTTTTTTTTTAATAGGAATGAATTTTGTACTTCATTGGGTCTTTTTCTGCATCTGTTAAGATGGTCTTATGATTACTTGGTTAATCTAGGCATTAATTTTGACTGGTAAAGCAGCAGTACCATTACTAGGCTAAATCCCACTTGGTAATAATGTGTTATCCTTTTTATATACAGTATTGTTCATTTCAATTTGCTAATATTTTGAATATTTGCATGTTTAAGAGTGATGTTAGTTTATAGTTTTATTATTATTACTATTATTATTATTATTATTTTGACCTTTTTGAGATAGGGTCTCGCTGTGCAGTTCAGGCTGGCCTTGAGCTCACTTTACCCCAGGCTGGTCTCGAACTCGCAGCGATCCTCCTGCCTCAGCCTCCTGAGTGCTGGGATTACAGGTGTGTGCCACCACACCTGGCCTATAGTTTTCTTTCTTTCTTTCTTTTTTTTTTTTTATAGTTTTCTTTTTTCTTTGGTTTTGAATTGTTTTACCTGGATATATAGGAATATATATTTCATCAAATTAGGATATATTTTAGTCATAGTGGTCCAATTTACAGTATTTGATTTTACAATGATGTGAAAGCAATTTGAATTCTATAGACACCATAGTTTGAATTTTTTTTCTTCAATCAGATTTTATTGGTACATTTTAGATATTACATAATGATCACATTCATCATAGAGAATTTGTACCTGTACATGATGTAACTTTATTCTTTTTTTCATTCTCTTATCTTCCCTTTGACCTTTCTTCCCTTTCTCATTTACAGATCTTTGTTTCCAATTTTCATTTTCTCACTTTTTTTTTTTTTTACTTTTCTCTTCTTTCCTTTCTCTCTCCTCCCTCTCTTGTTGCCCTCCCCATTTGAACATTTCCTTCCTATTTTACAATACTTAATATACATTTTGCTCCTTATTTACACTTTCAGTTTCTCATACTAGAGAAACAATGCGGAATTTACACATATGTGTCCTATTTATTTACTTAACAGCATGGTCTCAAGGTATATCCATTTACCTAGTGTCAAGCTTATACTTACATATGGTGGAGTAGTACTTCATCATACTTTGAATTTAAATTTATATTATTTTATATTATTTTATTTTATTTTTATTTTTATTTTTTTTCCAGTACCTGGGATCGAACTCATGACCTTGCACTTGCCGGGCAGGTGCTGTGCCGCTGAGCTAAATCCCCAGCCCCCATACTTTGAATTTTAAATTTTGGTATTTTCCTGGGCTAATAATAGTTGAGTCATACTTTCTGGCAATGTTGGTCAGTGGCAGTGACCTGTCAGCCATGTGTGTAAACAACAGCTACTCTGTATGATAACATTGCTAAGCTATGATATTTGGGAGATGAGGTGTAGCAAATGTGTTTGTTTTTTTTTTTTTTTTTTGGTATTTTTGAGACAGGGTTTCACCATGCAGTTCAGGCTGGCCTTGAGCTCACTTTGTAGCCCAGGCTGGCCTCAAACTCACAGCAATCCTCCTGCCTTAGCCTCCTGAGTGCTGGGATTATAGGCGTGCACCACCATGCCCGGCTCAAGTGTATTTTTAACGTGATATTTCTTGTTGTAATGGACTTACCATGATAGAAATAACCCCACTGTAAGTTGAAGAGCATTCATATTTGGCCTCTTGTTGTAGCTCTGTAGATCAAACCGAATGATTTGTTTACTTTTTTCATTCTTTTTTCTCTCTTTGAATGATTTTGAAGTTTCCATTGTTATTTGTTCAAGTTCATTGATTAGTTTTCTACAATATTTAATCATCTACAAATTACAGCCAGTTTATTTTTCA